CGGAGGATAAGAAGGTCAAGCTTGTGGCCTTAAAATTCAGAGGCTACGCATCTACGTGGTGGACTAACACTACCACCAAGCGCAAAAGAGAAGGCAAGGCTGCTGTTAAAACATGGACCAAGATGAGAGCTTTATTAAAGAAGAAGTTCATTCCTACTCATTATATAAGGGAAAACTTTGCTAGGCTTCAAAACCTACGGCAAGGAAATCAGTCCGTAGAAGAGTACAACCGAGAGTTTGAAGAACTCTTGATGCGATGTGATCTTCAAGAGAATGACTCACAAACCTTTGTGAGATATTTATTTGGTTTAAACGCCCAAATAGCCAACACCGTGGAGCTGCAAAATTTTGAAAGCCTTGAAGATTTATCAAAGCTAGCCCTAAAAGTGGAAGCTCAACTCAAGAAAGGCAAGTCCCCCTTGAACCGTCCCCTTCCACCACATCAAGGCCAACCAAATTACACCCCCATTGCTGCCCAAAACCCCACGGCCCCCTCCCCTAAAAATCCCAAAACCAGGCACCCTATTTCATCGCCAAGTGCTCCTTCTCCTTCAAAACCTAGTTCATCAAGTAGCCGAGTCCAAAAGTGTTTTCGTTGCCAAGGCATTGGTCACTATGCTAGTGATTGTCCAAACAAGAAGATCATGGCTATTGTTGAATGTGAAGAAGAAGAAGAAGAAATGAACCCCTTTTGGGTTCAAGGAGAGCCAAAAGAAGAAGAGGAAATTGTTGGCCCCGACGAAAGTGAACTTTTGGTCATTCAAAAGACCATTAGTCATGCGGCTGCCCGGGATGAGTCCGCACACCGAGAGAGTAGTTTTCATACCCGTTGCACCGTTCAAAAGAAGGTGTGCTCAATGATCATCGATAGCGGAAGTAGTGCCAATGTTTCCAAAACAGCAGTGGAAAAGCTCAAACTAGAGATGTTACCACATCCGAAGCCTTATAAGATTCAATGGTTGAATCTAGATGAGGGAATACGTGTGAATACATGTAGCTTGGTCTCCTTTAACATGGGTCAGTCCTTTCAAGATGACGTGTGGTGTGACGTAATACCCATGAGGGCTTGTCATATTCTTCTCGGGAGACCATGGTTATTCGACCGGAGAGTTATCTATGACGGATTTGCTAACACATACTCATTTATGGTGGGTGCTAAGAAGTTTACTCTTTACCCATCAATCCCAAAACCCCTACTGCCCCAAAAGAAACCTTCTTCCATACTCTCCATTTTTGTCAAACCAGACGGATCAGAGGAATAAATCCAAAGTGTGGTGACATTATTAGGGTTGAATCCACTCCTTCGCCCTTCCCTAAAGCCCAAACCAGTCCTACACCCCACCTAGGCCGAACCAACACCCCCCCCATCCCTTCCCTAAACATCCAAAGTTCCTTGTCATTTAATTCCTTTCAAAATAATGTTTTCCTACACTTATTTTTAGCCTATGGCAGAAAATAAGAGTGTGTAAACCAAAACCTTTTGTTTGTTGTTATTTCCCTTTTTCCTTTCCTTCTTTGGCCAAACTTAGGGCATCCCACGAACCCCATATCACCCCTCCTTTGAATTAATACACCCCTGGCAGAAGTTCTTTGCATAAACCACAACCAAACAAAACACTTCAATTCCCTCATTTGAGAGCCGAGGATACCAGGCCAAAACCACTCCCTTACTTTACACAATAAACCCACCATTACCAGCCAAAACCCCTCTCTTATTCCATGTAAGAGACCTGCCCTGTCCCCCCTTTTGTTCCCCAACAAAGCTGCACAGCCCTGGCCCACCACTAACTCAATCAACTCTCTCTTATTATCTACATAAACACCCAAGAGATACCTCCAAAAGAACAGCCAGCCTTCCCTCTCCTTTACCCCCACTTGGCCGAGAATACATCACCCAAAAAATCAATCAAAGTATGGGCATTATTCACATAAACATTTCCCATGCACTAAAGGCCGAGAAGGGAGCTCCACAACCACACATCATCTCTGAATTTTCTCCCTACCTAGAAGACATGACGGCTGATGAATATTTGCTAGGAAGCTTCCTTATGTCACATTAATTGTATTGTGTGTTTTCCCCCCTTTTCCCCTCCATATATAATTCGGCCTTAGGGTCATGTTGTAAGGCAGCTTTTTGATGAAATAAAACATTACTCTTTGAGTATATTTTAAATAGTGTGATGTTATTTAAGCCAAATTCCTAATTCTATATCTTAAGAGTGGTTATCTTAAGTGTGAGTTTTAGGTTCTAGATATTTAAATAAGTGTGTAATATCTTATTTGAATTCTAGATTCAAACCCCAAGTTAAGATAAGAGTGTGTCATATCTCTTAACATCAACTTGGTTTATCCCCTCCAATTTTATTCCCCCCATTTCGTGCCTCCACATATTCTCTTCCTAAACAACCTCTTCTTTNCTTTGAGTATATTTTAAATAGTGTGATGTTATTTAAGCCAAATTCCTAATTCTATATCTTAAGAGTGGTTATCTTAAGTGTGAGTTTTAGGTTCTAGATATTTAAATAAGTGTGTAATATCTTATTTGAATTCTAGATTCAAACCCCAAGTTAAGATAAGAGTGTGTCATATCTCTTAACATCAACTTGGTTTATCCCCTCCAATTTTATTCCCCCCATTTCGTGCCTCCACATATTCTCTTCCTAAACAACCTCTTCTTTTTCTTCATAAAAAAAAACACCAAAAGAACTCCCCTTTTGCCCCATAATATTTCAGCCACCCCATTTCCCCCTCACTTCCCCATAATTCCTTCTCTAAAATAGCAACTCGATAAGACCCCAGGTCTCGGGTATAACACAATCAAATGATTTAAAATTTAAATGTAACCATGTAACATGTAACTATGTGACATAACCTACGACCATATGTGCAAATAACATAATATTAAATACCAGTGACCAAAGTCCAAAACCACTAAACGCGACAAGAAAATACAATTTTACTTATTTCATATATAATGAAATTGCTGTGTGTATGTGTGTGAACACACACACACACACACAAACTTTGTGGTTCAATGAGAGATACTATTGAAATAATATTATTTGTGATTTCCTATATTAAAATGGCACATCAAGCTTCTTACATCAATAAAGGTTCAATGAAGTATTTTGGGTAGTACATACATCAATGCATTAAGGGTATATCTTGAATCCCAAATCCCGACGTGTTTGGTATTAGTATGTTGGTTGCTATTCCTGTAACATCACTGACCTGAGATTTAACCTGAGTTGTTGAACTGTCATTCTCTCCACACCTTCAATATCACCCACATTAACCTCAAAACCAATTTCGCAGCTCTCCTGCATTTCAAGGAAAAAAGTTAGTCCCGTGTACAAAAAATTAGTCCAACTCATCCATCACTAAAAACTTCAGAGTATAATTGTTCAAAACATTTAGGTCATTAAACATTAGTCTAAACCAAGTACTCTGTAACTATTTGAATAGAATCTGAAATTGAAATATTTGAAATATCTAAAATATGATAAAATAAAACTAAATTATTATGTGCCCTGTAAATTATACTTTTCTACTCATGTTTGAAATGAAACTTTCTATTCTGTATTATTTTTTTCATTTCCCATTTATTTTAGATTTAGACATTCTAAAAAAATTACGGAATACATTAGACTGGACACAATGAATAACAAGATACTGCATACTGCAAAAAAAAGAGTACAATTTCTCAAAACTACACAAAACAAAAATGTCCAGGAAGAGCTTCTCACCTCGTTCGTGACATTCTCGGGCGGAGATGATCCAAGACTCAGAACTTCACTCCGTTTGGACGTAGCTGAGCACGAAATCCGTCTCTTGGGTGCCATTGCTACCAAATTTGCAGAGAACGGCGGCTCAATTCGATGGCTCTTTGAAACGACTGAGGCATTAAAAGGAGATGGATAAAATCTCACAAGGTTAAACAGATTATCGAATAAATAATCAGTGAATTCAATTGTACGCGAAATATAGAAGCATACGGTTATGCGTTAGGAAGCTGAGGGGGGCGCAGAATCGTGTCTTCAATATTTGTTTCATTAGCTATCATTCGCCCTGATTCCTGGCCGGCGGTGGAAGGAGCAGCGGCGAGGTTGTGCCGGTTGAGAGCAGCGCCAGCATATAGGGGGAAAACAGAAGAAATGACGGAGGTTGTGCCTCTTCTCTCAAACCGTGCGACTAGTTTAGTGCTAGAATAGTAAAAAATGGAGAGTTTATTTTAAAATCATTTTAATTACAAATTGATACGGAGTATAAAAATAAAAAAGTATATATAGTACTCTGTATTGTTTACATATACTCCGTATATAAAAGAACATCACGATTCCCATGACATTGGAAATTAATGTCATGGGATGACCTGAGGTCTCTACAGTACTCCATTCAAAAAATTGATTGTTCCTACCCATAACCCCCGGTAACCCCCCTAACCTAGCCCGACCCGAACCAACCTCTCCTCCCCCATCAATTGCACCCCAGAAGATGTAAATGACTTTGGAGTCAAATTTTGACTCCAAAGTCAACTACATCTTTTGGCGTGCAATTGACCGGAGAGGATGGTGGGTTCGGGTCGGGCTGAGTTGGGGGGTTTATCAGGAAGGTTAAGGGGTAGAAACAATCAATTTTTTGAACGGAGCACCGTAAGGACCTCAAACGAAGATTGTGTCATAGGATGACATGAGGGATTAATGTCACTGAAACATTGCCCATAAAAGAATTTATAAAATAAAAGGTGACAACATATTTTATTTTATCAAATTATCTATAAACACGTATGATAGTGTAAATTAACCACCATATTGTATTCGAGAAAGTAAACTGTAGTAAACATAAAGGTTAAGCGGGAGAATTGTAAGTAGAAACACATGTAGCCCAATTGTTATTAGAATATAGGGGTAATAGCATGGGTCCCCCGTGGTTTACAAAAGGAGCACCAAAACCCTTCTACTTTCAAAAGTAATTTGTAAAAGAAAAGTGGTAAAACCCCTGTGGTTTTTAAATAGTGGAAAGACGCCCTTCTTGCCTATTTTTAGATATAAAATGACATTTTTGCCCTTTATTTTTCTCTATCTTCAAATTTCACTCTTTTATTTGCATTTTTATTATACAAATAATAAAATAAAATATGCACCCTCTTTCTCAAATTAAACTTTTTCATTTATTTAATTTTCAAAAAAATAAGTTTTTTTAGAAAATGTTACAAAAGAAAATGAAAAATTAAAAAATGAAGTAAACTACACTTTTTCATTATAAGTAAAAGTAAAATAAATAAAGTAAAAAAATTAGAGAACATATACTCACTCTATCTCTAATTAAAAATTCTAACTTATTTATTTTTTAAAAGTAAAATAGTTTTTTAAGGACTTTAAAAAATGAAGAACAAAAAGATGAAAAAAATATGGAGTTAAAGAAAAGACCGATTTTTATATTTTTCTTTCTTTTCATTACCTTTTTCAATTCCTATTTTTACTTTGTACATAATTTTTTATTTTTTATTTTCTTTTGTAATATTCTCCAAAAAAAATCTTTTGTTGTCAAAAATACATTATGGAAAATTTTAATTTGAGATGGGAAGCATATATTTTATATTATATATTTGTATAATAAAGAAAAATAAAATTGGAAAAATTCAAGATTGAGGAAAAGAAAGGGCATAAATGTTATTTTTGTTTTAAAAATAAGTAAGGGGGCATGTGTGCTCTATTTAGAAACCATAGGGACTTTACAAGTAACTTTTGAAAACATAGATGGTTTTCACATCCTTTATGTAAATCACGGGGGGCAAGCATGCTATTCGCCCTTAGAATATAGTAAAATGCACGGGAGATATTACACAAGGGTTTTAGAAAGAAGAATTCAGATCCCTCCATTTGAGAATTACACACAAGTATTTATAGGAAGCTAGAGGGAACAAGGCACCGTGCATCCTCGTCAGGCCACGTTATTGGGTGGCGTGAGGTGATTGTCTCTGTCTTTTAGTGGCTTGTCTCATCCCTTTATTCCTTTGTCATCTTGTTAGGAATGTGATTTCTTTGTCGTGTAGCATGTCGGATAGATCGTGCGAATATCTTCGGTGATCTTTCGCCGAAATTTGGCCGCTACCGTCCAACCTCCATTGGACGCTTTCGTGCCGACACTTCCTAATCATAGAAAGCATACCAGTAAGGTTTATGCCTGTAGGATTTTATGGAGACTGGCGATGGTCAGAACAAGTTTCGTAGTTTGACCTGTAGAGTAATCAAAGTGTACCGGTCGACTTATCGGCACCTATGGCATTTATTGAAAAAATGAGTTTTATTTATTTATTGAAATTTTTTTAAAGTCTATAAAACAATCCTTTATATATATAAAGCAGAGTCGGAGCTATAAGAATGTGACATTTGGCAGAGCTAAAGCACGACATGTGGCGAGCTGATGTGGTGACATTTGGCAAGTTAAAGCGCGACATGTGGCGAGCTAATATGTCACCCTTTTAGACAAACCGATCGGTTTGACCGGTTAGATCAGTTCTTTTTTTGCAATTTTTTTCCAAAAGCATACCACCATGGGGTTTGAAACAAGGATCTCTTGGTCATTTAGTTGAGTTGCTAACCATCCAAGCTAGGGTGCTTTTTGTTACAATCTCACTTAAGCTTTTATAATGTTTCATAATTAAAAAAGGATTGTATAAAAATTTATTTTTAGTTATAAAAAAATATAATCTTTTAATATAATATTTAAGACTCCGTTTGCTAAAAAGTCGCCAAAAGACAAGCTTATGTGGGTTATATTAAGGTGAGATGGCANGTTATAAAATCAAATTTGTGAAAGATAAATGTAGTATTGTCCGAAATAAAATTTTTAAAGGAAAACAATTATATAAAATATAATTTTATGATAAAAATTATTATGATGTAGCAAACAATTAGTGAAAATATAAAATTGGTATTATCACTTACCATTTCAAGACTAGCATTTTTTATGAATCAAATTTTTAACTAAGTGCATACACAAAAAACAAAATTTTGATAATGATATATTCTCATTTAAGAGTATTCTTATAGAAAAGGATCAAATATGTTTATAATTGATCCTTTATTTATAAAATTGATATTTTAATCTTTAAGAAGCAGAGATATGATATTGTTTAAGAGACATTTCTGACACGTAAAATATATTATAGAAAGTAAGAAGTTAATACTATTGTATGAAGTCCTTCGGTACAATTAATTATGGAAGAGAATATCGATATTCATTTTTATAATAATTATTTTCTAATTATGTATAATTTTCTATTCAATTATTACAAAACTTCTAAAAGTGTGTTTGGTGAGCAAAAAAAAATGAGTTTTGAAATCTCCAGATATCTTTATCCTTTTCTGGTGTTTGGTTAAGCTAAAAGAGTTATCAAATTTAATATTTGCAGATATCATAAATGTTTAAAATTGATGATCTCAGTATCTCTCGAATTTGGGAGATATCAATATAGGGGTTTGATATCTCTCTCAAGTATCGATCATTCTTCGTCACTCGCTACCATTATCACTGCCAACCACTGCCGTTGCCAGTCCCCTTTTCTTACCACTAATTAAATCCTGAATTTAAATCTCTCCAAATAAAATCATTTCAGATTACAAAGTCCATATCATTTCTTTGAGTTTTCATAACCCACATCTTATAATATCTCCAAAATTCACCAAATTGGCCCTAAGCAATTAATAAGATATTTCTTCACTTCTAAATAAATTTCATATTTTTATGATATATTTAAATCGAAGCAGTCAGTTTGATTATATTTATTAAAATATGAGAAGATTAAAAAACTTATTTTAAAACTAGAATGAAACTTTATAAAAATGAGAAGATTAGAAAATAAATTGTTAAAGCACGTAAAATATATTAGACTTTTAAGTTGTTGAGATAACATATTTATTTTGTACTCAATAACTTGGTTTTAGATTTGCAATTAACTCAGACACAATTTTGATGTCAACAATTGTGTATTTTATCAAATTGCATTTCCAATTCTCAACTTTTGATTATATTATATTCGTAAGAAATTTGAGAACCAAATATATGTAATATGAATAAGTACACAATTTAGGGTTTAGAAATTGCATCGGATGTAATAAGAAATACATGACTAATATGTTGAGTATGAAATAAATGTACTATCTCATCTAATTAGAAGTTCTAATTAGGTTAAGGACTATTTTCAAATTAAAATATTTTGTAGGGATGACTTTATCAAAAAATATTTTACTGAGACGAAAAAATTTCTTATTTTATAGGGTATAAAAATATATTTAAACCTATTTTTATTATATTATAAAAGACAAATGACTAAAACAAAATATATCGTTGGGACTTATTATATTACAATAACATTATTTATGATTTTATTATCATTGAGTACATTTAATTAAGAAAGAGAGATATTTATTTCTTTTAATTTTTTTTCATTTCATTTATAATAATAGTTTCGATGAATATATAAACTACTCTCTTTATGTTATGATTAAGAGAAGTTAGCTTTATTCCATTTAAATTTCATATTTCTTTATGTTATGATTAAGAGAAGTTAGTTTTATTCCATTTATTTAAATAGTGATGTAAAATAACAAATACTTCTTAATCTCTATATTAAAATTATATATATTAAGTGTTTAAACCATACGGAGTATTACTTAGCAGGATTATTTAATTTGACTTTTGTACTTTATCTTTCTAATTTGACCTATTATTTTAATCAAAAAAGGTTTGCACTGTAACTTACCATATTTAAGATGTAACTTAAGATTTATAAATTTATATTAGGTGATAATTCACTATATTGATGCATGAAAATAAAAAAGACGGATGAAGTATGGCTCGATTCTCTTTTCTTCATTTTCGCAATCATACAAAGAAATTTAAAAAATGATATTCTTAGAGATGAAGCGATATAACATGGATTTTCACAAAAATATTTCTATAAGGAAAATTAAGATTTGGAGGTCGAGAAACGCGTGAAGATCTGTGACAATTAAAATTTAGATGCAAGAATAATCAGTATTTTAAGGAGAAGTACGAAGAATATCTTATGTGCAGAAGTTAATAAGATTTAGGTTAAACTACAACATCAAAGAAAAATATAATTTTTAAATTGTAACTCTTTGTATTTTTAAAACATTATGTATTGACCAAAATATTTTCACACACTTAAATGATTGAATATTTAAAAAAGAAAGAAAAAAAATGAATAAAAATTGTGAATTAGTTTTTGTAAAATTTCATTAAAATCATAAAATCACTAATTTTTTTGCATTCACATAATTTTTGAAATAATATGAGGGAGAATAATCATTATATTTTTAATGTATTGTAAAATTTATATTTCTTATCATATGATTGTTAATTTATGATTTCACACTTTTAATAATACAAGAAAAAAGAGTCAATTTTTAATTAGTGCAAAGGGCCAAAGAGAGAAAGAATCACATTAATGCATCATAGAAATTAAAATCATATATTTCCGTTA